CCAGCAGGAGGGCGAGTTCCTCCTGCTTGTTCCCCATGCATGTATAACCCACCCCCGCTGCCAGCCTGGGATCCACGCCGGTTCTAGGCTCATCCATCGGGGCTGCACGTAGTGGCAGCAGCTGCTGGGTGCGGAGGAAAGCGGCTCCCCCACTTGCCGTGCCAGGCAGTGTTTGCTGCTGCTGCCCACCTGGAGCTTGCATGCTGCACAGCACAGAGGCAGCAGTGGCAGCCACACCACAGCCTACTGTGGCACGAGCTCTGTGTAGGCAGCAGCAGCAAACACTGCCCAGTGGGGCAAGCAGGGGGACCACTTTCCTGTGTGCCGAGCGGCTGCCCCTGCTGTGGTGCAGCCCCGACAGGCAAGCCCAGAGCCAGCGAGGGGCCCAGGCTGGCAATGGCAGTGGGTTACAAGCTGGTGCTGAGCATGGGGAAAAGCAGCCCCACTGGCGTCCCATGCTGCAGCTGATTGCAGCCCATGTGGGGCTGCCTGTGCCTGCTCAGGACAGCCCCACGCAGGCTTCGATAAGCTGCAGCATGGAGTGCCGGCCATGGGGTGGGGGAGGGGCCTCTTTTCCCCATGCTCAGCACCAGCTCATTCCCTGCTGGTGAGCACGGGGTCAGGGGTGCGCACTGCCCCCTGCCTGTACCGCAGGGCTGAGTGGGGCACTGGGAGTGAGCGTGCATGGGAGCCAGCAGAAGTGTGGGGCCCGCGCCAGTGTCCCGGGGCCAGTGCCTGCGGGGCCCAGAGAAGGGAGACAGGACACACAAGACATTGGGAAATTGGTCCCAAGATGGTGACCAGGGGACGGGGCACCTGTCAAGGGGCAGGACTACCCATGCAGCCCTTAGCAGCTTGCCAAAACTGGGTAAGTGGCCCTCCACCTGAAATAATTGCCCATGCCTGATATGAAGGACACTACTGCATCTAACCATCAACAGAGTTGGTTGAGGCAGCTTTCTCAAAGCAGCAGCAGGGGTTGAACTGGTTTTGCGATAGAGTTTTATTAGTTTATGATGCAGCTTCTTGTAATAGCAAGGGACTGAAATCAATTATATGAGGCCCCTTTTAGTCTTAAATTCCTATCATAGGAAATTAGGGTTGGAAGGGACCTCAGGTGGTCATATAGTCCAACCCTCTGCTCAAAGCAGTACCAGCCCCAACTCTATCATCCCAGCCAAGGCTTTGTCTAGCCAGGTCTTAAAAACCTCCAAGGATTGAGATGTCACAACCTCTCTGGGTAACCTGTTCCTGTGTTTTACTACTCTTCTAGGCTGCATCTAGACACGTGCAGATCTTTGTTTCTCCAGGAATAAGTAGCAGCACCACACCTTGTGTCACTGCTACTTGTCCCCAGGGAATGCCCATGCCATGCACCCTCTGGCATACAGCAGGTTATCCCAGGTGGGGTAGGGGAGGCTGGGGCCAGCTACTGTGCTGGCCCCAGAAGCCTTACCTGGGGTACTGGGGTCCTTGGGGAGATGCAGCACTCCTGAAGCTAGGAGCCTAGCCAGCAGCCAGAGTGTGGCTCTGGCTGGCTAGGCTCTGGTTTTGGGTGGCATGCACTGCTGCCATGTACAATGCCCAGTTTGTTTTTTGTGCAGGTTTTTTTGACCCTGGGATCCCCAGGGGTCAAAAAATGCCCCCACACTGCAAGATAGCAGCATGGAGAATGCCTGCATGTGTGGTATATGGTCCTGCAGATGGGTCTGCAACGCTACCTGCTGCACATCTGGGCTCTTCTGGATGCGGCTCAAATGAGAGAATTTTTCCTAATATCTAATCTAAATGTCCCTTGCTGCAACTTGAGACTATTGCTCCTTGTTCTGCCATCTGCCAGCATTGAGAACAGTTTAGCTCCATCCTCTTTGGAACCACAGGTAGTTGAAGGCTGCTTTTAAAATCCTCCCTCAATCTGTTTTTCTTTAGACTATATAAGCCCAGTTCCCTCAGCCTCTCCTCATGTGCCCAAGTACTGTAAACATTTTCATTGCCCTCTGCCGGACTCTCCAATTTGTCTACATCCTTTTGTAGTGAGGGCCCCAAAACTGGACACAGTACTCCAGATGTGGTTTTACCAGTGCTGAATAGAGGGGAATAATCACTTCCCTTAACCTGCTGGCAACACTCCTACTAATGCAACCCAGTATGCCATTAGCCTTCTTCACAACAAGGGCACATTGTTGGCTCATATTTAGCTTATTGCCCAATGCAACCCCCAGGTCCTTTTCTGCATTACATTAGTCTGTTAACTAACTAGAAAGCACAGCTACTATTCTCTTCTACAAGTATGAAAATAGAAGCCAGATCATTTGAATCCCGGTGATTACCAGCACACTTAATTCACAAGATGAGCTGCTCAGCAGATTGCTACAGTTTTTACTTCAAAAGCCAGCACTTCTCCAGTCATTTGGAGCTCATCAGTGCTTCCACACAGGTGTTAGCTTTAGCACGCTCTAATTAAAGTACCTGCAGTGTCTTGTGTATCAGTGTCCCTGTGCTTCAAAATGGCGGTAGGGGGTGCTTTAATTAAAGCTCACTGATTGAGCTTTAGTTAAAGTGCCCCCGCTGCCATTTTGAAGTGTAGGGATACTGATACACAAGATGCAGAGGCTGCTGGAGCATGCTAATTAGCACTGTCCAGCAGACCTGATTAATCTGTAATTATAGCCGCCCTACACATCTGCAGATACCCAATATGGCCCAGGGAACTGATTCACAAACCCTCATCCTTACAGCAGGATATGTGATCCTGCAAAGCACCCAAGTTCTGTTGCATATAATTATGTTTGTTTTCTTTTTTTATTAATTAAAGCACAAATACAATTTTTATTTAGAATCAGCTTTGTATTTTAGAGATATTTTTTCACAGCTAAGTCATTAAATAGCTTCTGTTTCAACTAAAATTTTTACTGTAGGTTGTTTTTGATATAGTTAGTCACCCATTTAGTTGTTATTTTTAGGTACTAGAGATGATGAAGTTTTGTTTTTGTTTTATTATTTTCTTAAATGTTGTAATATATTAAGGGGGAAATTTTACAGGGTGTGTTGAAAGATGACATTAGGGGCACTAAAAGTTTCCAGGCATGGCAGGGAGCCAGATAGATCCTCTTCTACTGTAAATCAGCCAAGTTCCACTAAAGTCTGAGGACCCATGTCAGTTTACAATAGCTCACAATCTGGTCTACATGCTTAAATAATTTTGAAAATTGATTTTAATAAGCTGACTTTGGGTAACATACTCTGAAGGTAAGATGTAAAGCTCAGACAAATAAATGGGGGATCTTTCCTTTGACATCAGTAAGCTTTGGACCAGTCTAATGCTATCCCTTACCTATATCTTTTTTATTCTTCTATTTCCCTGACTGCTTTCATTGGTTACAGTTAGATTCCCGTACACTGTGTGAGTTAAGCTTTTGTAATCAATCTAGCCATGTGAAGTTATACCACCATAGTCATGTTTCCTTCTTTTTGATTCCCCAGTTCATTAGAAAGCCCTTGTCCAATGGTATTTACTAAAGGGAGTCCACTTTGTTCCTGAGCCCTTTCAAATCCATTGGGATTCTGGTTGCCCTGCCCCATGACTTTCCTTTTCTTTTGGCACCTCAAACAGGGTTAAAAAAAATCAATATGCTTTTGATCCATCACGTACAACATAGGAGCAGATGCTTAGCTTGCGTAAGTCAATATAGCCCCATTACTTCAGTGGACCAATACTGATTTACATCAAATGAAGGCCTGGCTTGCTGTCTTTATCAGTACTCTATACATATCTGTCATAGAGGGATGAAGGTTCCTGAAGCCAGCCACTATGTGGAAGGAAATCATTGGGAGGGGGTGGGAGCAGATCAGGGTCTCTGGAGAGACAGACAGCAAGGAAGCTGGAAATAGCAAACCAGGTCTGTATTGGGAAGTCAGATATATTGCTGGGGGGCATTATAAGAGATATATGCAAGTACATAGATAAGAAGCTAGCATACATAAAGAGCTGATATCATTTTCATCCTGTTCACAAATGCACAGATACAGGTATGTGGCCATATTTACTTACAAACTGATTCTGAAACTGATTGTTGAGTGATTATTTGTCATCAGTCAACTTCTCAATGATAACTAAGAGATCTAAGTTAATTTTTATGTCTACCAAGTTGCTCTTTAGCAAGGTGGCATATTGAATTGGTTTAGGAATTTTTGTCTAATCCTGCAACAACAAAACATGCATATACATATTCAAACCTTGGTAGCTTCCAGGGTTCCTTAAAGGCTTTTTCCTCTGCTCCACAGGCCTTGAACAGAGCTCCAGTCCAATCACCAACAACCCGGATATGCACACTAAAGAATTCCTCTTCAGGAGCAGATGTGAGTGTGAAAGGATGCCACTCCAACTTTGATATGGAAGGGCACTGTAGAAAAATGTACTGGCCAGGCTCCATTTTAAAGCCATATTTCTTCATATGAAGTTCAAGGACTCCAGAGGAATGGGTCACTACCTGGACCACAGTAAAAACACAATAAATTATCTATATGTCCTGCAGTGTTTAACTTATGAGTTCAAGGTACTAGTCATTTTCAGACAGTTACAGGCCTCTTATTCACTTCTACTTGCCTTCAACCAAAGGGTTATGACAAGTAGCATATGCATCACTTTTGGCAGTGGATAATGGACTATACTGTGTCATAATGCTACTTAATCACCAGTAGATTGAGAGCTTCCACTGCATATGTTAGACAGAATTTTGCATTCTGAGTTTGAGAAGTTGAGGGAATCCTGTATAGGAGGCCATACTTTAGGCAGTCTTTCAGTTTAAGAGACCACACAAAAATATTATCAAAAATACAGAATCAATTCTTCTCTTATATCAAAGTAAAACTGGTCCAAAATAGATTTTTATGGAGTTAATACTGATTTATTCCAAAGTAAAAAGAATCAAACCCACTGGGCATGTCTACACATGTGCATTTACCGGGCAGTAACCAAAATTACTGCTCAGTAAAAACGGTGACTTATGCTGGCTTGAGTGTAAATTTGATACCTGCATTATGCAGGTATCAAATTTATGCCCAATTAGCTACTGTACAATAATGCACGTGTAGATGTCTCACTGCACAGTAACACTGTGTGTGGACTGACTTGAGACTAACTTTAGTCCCAAATCAGTCCACACACAGCATTAATGCACTTTAATACCTGCACATGTAGACACTGGCCTATTCCTGCTTGCTGTGCAGTAAATTTAAGCCAGCATAAATGAACATGTAGACATGCCCACTGAGCACAAATCTAATTAATTTTAATAAAAGCTCATTGAGTTAAGAACCCATTCTATAGCAATATAATGAATGATTGCTTAAGACAAGTTTGTCCACTGAAATTATCATTTTAGAATTGCTTTTTAAATCTTTGTGAAATCATCATCAAGATCTCATCTGCCATACCTATCACTTACACAAGGTAAGTGTGATTCTGATCTCTGCTTTTTTCCTGCAAAACAAAATTGACTTAAATACAATTATTCTTGATTGTCACTAGTGTGAGAATATGTAGGTAGATCCACAGCTGACATGAACTAGTAGAGCTCCACTGAAGTCAATATGACTATGACACTTTAGGATCATAGAAAAGTAAAGCAAGAAAGGATCTCAGAATCTTATCTAATCCAACACCCTGCTCAAATTAGGATCACCCCTGACAAAACTAGCCATGTCAAGCATCTCTCCAACCTGCTTTTAAAAATTTCCAGGGTTGGCTATTCCAAAAGGTCTCAAAGTAGCCTGTTCTAATGCTTGACCACCCTCCTAGTCAGAATGTTCTTTCTAATCTCCCATGTAAATTTCTTCTGCTGCAGTTTGAGGCCATTGTTCCTAGTCCTGTCCCCTGTGATCACAGAGAAAAGTCTATTTCCATCCTCTTTATATGAGTCCTTCAGGTATTTGAAGACTGTAGTCAAATCTTCCCTCAGTTTTTTCTTCCCTAAATAATTCTAGTTCTTTCAGCAGACATATATCTGGCCAGGACTCCACCTGGGACAGTTTGTCCTTCTCCCTCTCCCTGTATCTTCTTTGTAGGGCTCTGGCTCCAGAGGCTCCAGTAGTGGGCAGTGGCACTTTATGCTGCTGCTAAGGAGAGATGTCACCCCATTATTTTGACACAGACATTCATGTAAAGAGGTCAAATAACCCACTGTTTTTAGTGGCAAAAATATGGGATTATATCTCACCCCACTAGCAGTGAATTCCAGTTGCTGTCACCCATCGTCATTCACTAGAGCTATGTTTCCCAGAATGCACTTCAGTCACTGATACATGCTCCTGTGCTTCTGTTGCTTGCTACCAGGACAGCAGCTAGAAAGTGCAAGAGAAAGGGGAGCAGGGTAAGGTGCCTCCCACTCCATTCTGGCACCTCCTTTCTCTTATGCATTGCCTGGGGCTCATGCCCTGCTCACCCACCCATCCTTATACAACTGTCTTTCAGCCTTTCTTCATAATTTATGTTTCCTTGGCCTATAATAATTTGTCAGTGCTTGCTGGACACCTTCCAATGTGTCCACACCTTCCTTGAAGTGTGGAGTCCAAAACTGAACACAGTAATCCAGGAGAGGCCTCACCAATGCTGAACTGAGCGCTTGATTTGCAAGAGACACTTCTGTTAATACAATCCAGTATGCTGTTGGCTTTTTTTTGCAATACAAACACACTTATCTCATATTTAGTTGATGGTCCACTATGACCCTCAGGTCCTTCTCTATAGTACTGCAGCCCAGCCAATCATTTCCTAGTCTCTATTTGTGCATACAATTATTCTGTCCCAAATGCATAAATTCACGTTGCCCTTGTTAAATATAATCTGACTGATTGTGGACCATTTTTCCAGTTTATACAGATTATTCTGGATTCTAGCCCTGCCCTCCACAGTGTCTGCAAATTCACTCAACTTGATATCATCCACAAATTTGCTAAGTGTGCACTCCATCCATTTCTTCAAATAATTAATAAAGATGTTTAGCAATACTGGAGTCAGGACAGGCCCCTGGGGAGCCCCACTCGATACCTCCTCCCAACTAGATGTTGAGCCATTGATGGGTAGCCGCTGGGCATGATGATCCAACCAGTCATGTATGCACCTTATAGTACTTTCATTTACTCTGTATTTCCTTAGCTTTCTACCTTGCTAACGGTATATCACATCCATTGCTCCTCCACCACCCACAGAGACTGTCACCTTATCAAAGGAAATCAGACTGATCAGTCAGGACTTGCTTTTGGTGAATGCATGCTGGTTGCATAACGACCTGCTCCATGATCTTTTCAGGTATAGAGGTCAGGCTGACTGGTCCTTAATTCCCTGGATTGTCTTTCTTCCCTTTCTTAAACATGACACTATAATTGCCCTTTTCCAATCATCTAGGTCCTCATCTGATCTCTGTGAGTTCTTAAAGAGGGTAGCTAATAGCTCTGAAATTACCTCAGCCAATTCCTTCAGTACCCTAGGGTGCATCCCATCTGGCCCTGCTAACTTGAAAGCATCTAGCTTCTCTAAGTAATCCCTAACCAGTTCTGCCATTAACATAGGCTGCTTGTCTCTATTTTTGCTGCCAATTTCACTCATCATCTGATAGCTGTCCCTATTTGTGAAGACTGAAGTAAAAAAACCATTAAATATTTTAGCCTTCTCTTCGTCATCCATATCTAGGTTGCCTTCCATATTCAGTAAGGTACTTACATATCCTTTGGTCTTCCTCTTTTTTCTGACATACTTGTAGAATCCCTTTTTATTATCTTTTACATTGCTTGCCTCTTGCATCTCAAATTGTGCTTTGCCTTCTCTGATTTTATGCCTGCATACTAATGCAATAATACTCTTATACTGTTCCCCAGCAATATGATCTAGTTCCTACTTTTTGCTTTTTAAATCACCAGGTGATACCTTTCACAACACCTAGAGGTCTCCAGACCTTGAGGATGAAATCCTAGCCCCACTGAGGTAAATGGGAGTTGTGACATTAATTTCAGTAGGGTCAGGATTTCATGCTATGAGCTCAAAGCAAGAGTGACATTATTTGACCTCAGGTCTGTATCATAGTGTCATTAGTCTGTTACTTTGTAGTTTTAATTTGCTCATATATAGAACATTCTTGGGGATTTATCAAAGTGGGTTCAAAACCTAAAAGAAACCTCCAAAAATTTGTAAAACTGCAAGATAATAATGGGAATGAAAGCAACAGTAAGGATAAATCTGTAGAGTATATAGAGCAGTGATTCTCAACCAGGGTGCTGGGACACCCTGCGGGCCAAGAGATCTTTAGAAGGGTGCTACACGATGTGAGGGGATAAGCAGGTATGAGGACATAAATGTAAGCTCAGGCTCATCCCTTCCTGGCTGCTGCCCACCTCAACTATCCAGCAATTCTGCAAGAAGATAGGCACTGTAATGAATAAATTCATTTTTGAAATGGGGCGCTACTCAATTCACAAAAGTTTTGGTGCCTCAGACCCAAAAAGGTTGAGAACTACTGATGTAGAGACTACCAACAAAATTTAAAAATGAAAATTTCTTCTGATAAAACCATTTAATCTGCATTCTTTTTTTCCTCTTTTGGGCATTAAATCTGTCTTACATACCTTTGTAATGACCACTTTTTGCTGAGATCTCCAGAATCTAACAATCCGTTCACAGATATGCAACACCATGGGACCCAAAAGCCATTTCCAAGTCTGTAAATGTTACACATGAACAAAAATCTTAAAATATGAAGTGTTTTAATTTCTGGTAAAATCCTGCCATTAGCCGAAAATGTAATTATTTGACCTTTCTTCTGTAGCTTTTGATCCACCTGACACAAGAACATTTTTCTTGTACTATAGGACAAAACTGGCATTCACCTGAAATGGACATAATGGATTTCTTAACAGGTATACTACAAAAGCAAAGTTAATGGTATCTGTAATCTGGCCAAGACCAGCCATTGAAAGTCTATTTCTATTAACAGATAAAAGGATTCATTTACTTTGGGGCTGTATGTAAATGCTATTGCTAGGTCAGGAAACATATAAATGAATACATTCTTGGACAGTGTTCCATTGTTTCAGTCTTCTGCTCCTGGCAGAGATGTATACAGCGGAGCCACTCCAAAATTTCAGTGGGGTCAGATAGGAATGTCTATCTTCTCCTGTGTGCCCCCATTGTTGGCTATGAGACTTCAGGTATACAGATATATGCTGAACTCACTGGGAATAGGTTCAAAATGTTCAGTCACACTGAAAATTTATATTCTTATGCAGTCGATTAGGCTCTCCTGTATCAATGACTGTTCTTAGCTAATCTATGATACTAAGATGATCCTATTGTAGATATTATAGATGATCATTGCACTTGCTGATCATATATACTGATCATTATAATGATCAAAGTTACTTAGCTGATCATGTACATTAGCTGATAATAGTACTCAGTTGGACTATGATAGCTTTAGATAATTAGATATAATTGGAACTGCAAGATTAAAAAATGCAGACATTTATCTCTATAGAGGTCACCATCGTATTTCCAGTCTCATATGTGGAAAAGTGCACATAAAGCTCACTTAAGCTAACTGGAGACCTGAAAACAAAGATATATAGCTTTTAAAACCACTAAAGAGTAACTTTTTGTTTGCTGAAATATTGAATTAAACATATAAGAGGGTGACTGGTTTATAATGCATGTTTTATAAAGAACTAAATCAGATTATGTGGCTCCTTTAAAAAGTGTTAAGGGGATGGAGTTGTAATTTTTCTAAATTGAGTACTGAAAATTAAATTAAAAAGATGTTTGAATTATCAGAACGAATAGGCAAAAGACAGTACATTCTGAATTGAAGCAGAAACTCATATCTTTCATTGTCCCTAAATACTATAGGTATCTCTGCACAGTGGGTAATTTCACATGTCCTGAATACATTAGCATATATCAAGGCACAATAATGATGAAACCTGGTTTTCTCCCTTTTATTTGGACTACCTGTAAATAAAAACATGTGATGGGAATTTTAAAACTATGTGATGTCCTATGCAAGAGCTCAGCCCAGGCTCTCAAATGTGCACTGGTTCAGCAAACCATTTTAAAATACATTCAATTTAAAATGTCTTTTGGTTGGTTAAGAATAACAGAACATCCGCCAGAAGTGGCAGGCTCCTAAGTGATAGAGCTTCATGCCTGGTAATCAGGAAATTTGTATTCTTGCCCAGGCAGTGATTTCTCTTTGCAATTAGAATGAACTGAAATGGTGTTAGACTGGCTCAAGATAGGGTCTGATGATATAGGGCCTGACACCCATATATTAATGGCATTGTGTCACCAACCTCAGTGGAAGCAAAATCAAGCCCATAGGGGTTGACAGATACAGTACAGGATAGTACAGAAATCTCATTATGGTTTTTACCCTTTGGATTTTTAAACTGAATACAGAAGTACCTACCAGATATTGTTACAGCATAGCCCATTTCCCATCCAGCAATATAACATTCTAACGGATGATCTATGTTTCATATGGTATTATCACAATCCATTAAAATAATGTGACTTTGTAAATATGGCTTTGAGTATGCAGGAAGGTGTGGCAAGGAGAGAAGGATAAGTTCACCAGCTAACTTGATGATAATTAATGTCAGGGCATGCTGCTGAAAGCAAGCTTCAGTCTGTATTCACGGTGCATAGCTGTGTATTGATTTTTATGGAGACATTGTAGCTGAAATTTTAGAAAGGCATTTGCTTCCTCATTAATATGTGGGTTGGATAGTGGCTAACAATAGTTTAGTTTAAGAAAAATCAATGTCAGCCATTGAGAGCAATATTAGATACTGAATGTTAATTTTTCCTTTATTTTAAAATTTCTCTCTCTATTTTTTCATTTTGAAGAAAACAGCATCTGAGCAGCCCAAAATACCTACATTTGAAATGTTAAATAGTTTTGTTTAGACGATAGACATCTGACATGCTGCACAGGTCTGCCATTTAATTACCCACCCCCCCATGGATTTGCAATCCTACAAACCAGCATTCTGTGGGACATTTTTCTTGTTTTCCCACTTTTCCCTTTTAATGCCCCACTACTAATTCTGTCCTTGTCATTTAGTGTAGGATTTTAGAAAAGCATGGTGGGAACTACATAACCCAAAGCAAGGACATAATTTTATTTCTAACTTCTCTCTGTGATTTCAATCATTCCTCCTGGTGCAGAAACACACAAAAAAAATCTCTTATCTAAATCCCTGCATGTCCTGTTACACAATATTTCTATTTGTCTATCCTTTTGCCTACATGTTCTTCAGACAAGGACTGTCTTTATGCTTCTATGATGAATGCCTCAACAACATTGTTGATACTGAATGAATAATAAATGAACAATATAAAAATGAAGTTCATAATGGATTTTTTTTTTAATAGAAAGGGTGTTGTGATGGAGCAGTTAAGTCGTCTTACTACAGATCCAAAAATGTGATTCAAGTTAGACTTGCACTGATAGCCACCATCATCAACCCAGCTGTAAATAGGTTCCTGGTCATTCAGGCTAAGGATTCAAAGACACCTGGGGTACTTACACAGGTACTAACTTTCTGACAGTTAAAGCGACTTAATGTACGTGTAGCAGAGTCAACTTAAATGTGGTGCAAGATACTACACCTCTGAGGTGTATTATCTTGAGTCACATTAGTTGAGTAGACTTGGTGGTATCTACCTTGGGTGTGTGTAGATGAAACAGGGGCCCTAAGTGGAAGTGGTGGGTTTTTAAAAACACCACTTAAATTTAGGGTG